TAAACACAAAGTGAAACAAAACTCTCCTCTTTATGTATCCTTTACCATCCTATATATGCCTCTTAACGTAATAAAGAAATAGAAGAGGTTCTTTATGTACAGTATCCTATACCAGTCCTATAAACGTCTCTTAACGTATAGAGAAATAGAAGAGGTCTTTATGTATCCCCTATAGCGTCTTAACGTAATAAAGAAATAGAAGAGGTTCTTTATGTACAGTATCCTATACCAGTCCTATAAACGTCTCTTAACGTATAGAGAAATAGAAGAGGTCTTTATGTATCCTATACCATCCTATAAACATCTCTTAACGTAATAAATAAATAGGAAGTTGTATCATTACGTAGGAGGTACTGTACCGTTTGTCTTGTTATCCTGTGTGTCTACTGGTTTGTGATGTTGTAGATACTTGTAATACTGACTGTAAATGAATCGTATCATTACTTATTTAACCTAACCAGACCTAGCCTAGTGTAACTTAACATAATCTAACCTTGTCTAGCCTAATGTAACCTAGCCTAGTTATTTAAATCGATCCTAACTTTGCCTCACTTAATGGAGGTATATTAAAGTTATGTTATGATGGTGAATTATCAAAGAATAGCAATAAAAATAATTACCATCAGGCAAAAATTAATTAAGTATGATAAAAAATAATAATAATGACCGTTATATTGGCCCAGTCTGCTTGTATATATTATCCGGCATAAATAATTAATTATAGGGGTCGCATGCTTCTGTACAAGGCCCCCAGAGCTCTCCCAGCTGTAAATGGGTACCTAACCTTACAAGAGGGGAGAGTGAAGGTGGTCAAATGGTGTGTCGGCCATGTTGCCTCCTTGTGTACTGAAGGTTTAGTATACAGTATGCTGTACCCCCACCGCCTCTAACTAGATACTATTCTCCTGTATTAAAAATGACTAATAGTAACAATGATGATAATGAAGATGCTGGCAATGACAATAAATTATTATTATTACTATTATTATTATTATTATTAACGAATATGATGAAGTCGAAAATGAGGAGGTCAGGTCAAAAACACGGTTCATAATACAGACACAACACAAACAAAAACAAACCCCAGACCAAACAGACCCAATACCACTCAAACAAACACCATTGAATTAAACCCACAAACAAACACCATACAATGAAACGCACAAACAAACAAGCGAGACAAAACATCAAAGGTTCTTAAGATATTGGAGGAAGAGAACAAAAAACACTCTAGGAAAATCTGACATAAGTGTTGAGAGTCCTAAAATCCAGTTTATGGCGCACCACGCAGAGGTCGAGCCTTTGATTCCTTGGATGAACGTAGTGCACCGTTAGTACCAGAATTGAACGCCAGGAGAGGTCTCGTTCATTCAAGCTGGATATAGTTTGTATGTAAGTGTGTTTCATGTATGTGTGTATTATTGTACCTTAAAGTATTTAAATACATATAATTTCTAGTATATACGAGAATAACGTCGAAGTTCATCCTGAGAAAAGAAAAAAGTAAAAAAAATGGTTTCATTTTTGTTATATGTACGAGATTAATGACGACAATGATCCTGTGGTGTATACGAGGACGCTAATGACGTTGACCCTGAGAAAATATTATAAAATAAGGACCTTTTTATCTCTACCTTAATGTGCTGAGCGCGTTGACGGCGTTGAAGATGTGTTGACGGCGTTGAAGATGTGTTGACGGCGTTGAAGATGTGTTGACGGCGTTGAAGATGTGTTGACGGCGTTGAAGATGTGTTGACGGCGCTGAAGATGTGTTAACGGCGCTGAAGATGTGTTGACGGCGCTGAAGATGTGTTGACGGCGTTGAAGATGTGTTGACGGCGCTGAAGATGTGTTGACGGCGCTGAAGATGTGTTAACGGCGCTGAAGATGTGTTGACGGCGCTGAAGATGTGTTAACGGCGCCGAAGATGTGTTGACGCTGAAGATGTGCGGACAGCGTTGAAGATGTGTGTTAACGGCGCTGAAGATGTGTTGACGGCGCTGGAAGATGTGTTGACGGCGCTGAAGATGTGTTGACGGCGTTGAAGATGTTGATGGCGTTGAAGATGTTCTGACGGCGTTGAAGATGTGTTGGCGGCGTTGAAGATGTTGATGAAGATGTGTGACGGCGTGAAGATGTGTTGACGGCGTTGATGTGTTGATGGCGTTGAAGATGTGACGGCGTTGAAGATGTATTGACGGCGTTGAAGATGTGTTGATGGCGTTGCAGATATGTTGACACTGTTGAAGATGTGTTGACGGCGTTGAAGATGTGTTGACGGCGCTGAAGATGTATTGACGGCGTTGAAGATGTGTTGATGGCGTTGAAGATGTGTTGACGGCGTTGAAGATGTGTTGACGGCGTTGAAGATGTGTTGATGGCGTCAAGATGTGTTGACGGCGTTGAAGATGTGTTGATGGCGTTGAAGATGTGTTGATGGCGTTGAAGATGTGTTGATGGCGTTGAAGATGTGACGGCGTTGATGATGTGTTGATGGCGTTGAAGATGTGTTGACGGCGTTGAAGATGCATTGACGGCGTTGAAGATGTGTTGATGGCGTTGGAAAGTGTTGACACTGTTAAGATGTGTTGATGGCGCGAAGATGCGGATGGCGCTGAAGATGTTGATGGCGTTTAGATGTGTAAGATGACGGCGCTGAAGATGTATTGATTTGGCGTTGAAGATGTGTTGATGGCGTTGAAGATGTGTTGACGGCGTTGAAGATGTGTTGACGGCGTTGAAGATGTGTTGATGGCGTCGAAGATGTGTTGACGGCGCTGAAGATGTATTGACTTCGTTGAATATGTGTTGATGGAGCTGAAGATGTGTTGACGGCGTTGAAGATGTGTTGATGGCGTCGAAGATGTGTTGACGGCGCTGAAGATGTATTGACTTCGTTGAATATGTGTTGATGGAGCTGAAGATGTGTTGACGGCGTTGAAGATGTGTTGATGGCGTTGAAGATGTGTTGACGGCGTTGTCATTCCACTGGCAGCGTTAGTTATGCATTTCCAGCGTGGATTATGCGATGAGAGAGAGAGAGAGAGAATAATCCAATATTATATTTCAGAATGGGGAAATAGGCAGAGGCGGAGAAAACAAGAGGGGTATGAAGAAGGGTTAAAGGAGAAGGGGGAAGGAGGGAGGGAAGGAGAGAAAGGGGGGTAAGAAGGAATGGGAAAATCCGTAAGTTTAATGGGACTTCCCCCGAAAATAACCAGACACCCGTTTATTCTCTTCTGTTTGGTACTGTGTTTTGATTCTCTCTCTTTGTGTAACTACCATCTTCTTTCCCCTCTCTTTTTTGTCTTGCTTTATCTCTCTTTACATCTATTCTTTATCTTCTCTCTTCCTAAAGCTGTGGAAGCAAGAACAGTACTGGGATTTAAAATGGTCTCAAGAACAATGCATGGCCCACTGGCCCCCCTCTCTCGGCCTTGCCACCTCTAGTTTGGGTGGGTGGACATGAGGGTAAATCAGGCATCTTTATTATATAATGTTACAACGAATAAACCACAACCCAAGAAAATAGCACACACACACACACACACACACACATACACACACACACACACACACACACACACACGCGCGCGCGCGAAGACAGCCAATCAGAGAGCTGCGCAGGAGAACCTGGTAGCAATCCTTATCCTTCCCAAATAGGCACACTTAGCTCACGTCTATAAGTGAGCAGTCACATACACTAGGAAGTAGGCTTCCCCAACGGGGCTCCGGGAGAGAAGCTCAGGAACCACTCTACGACCACCAGCCAGTGGGGAGTGCTGTGAAATTCT